GAGGAGGGTCGGCAAGCTGGGTCGCTAGGGAGCTGCCGTGTAGTTGGGTGAGGGAACCCAGGGGTTCAACAGGAATGTGCTCTTTAAAATGGGCATGGTTAACTGGAAGAGCCCTCAGCAAGAAAAGACCAAATCGCCATCAACCGTGATGTATGGAACGAAGCTCAGACGTCACAGTCAATCTGTGCCCTGGTTTGCACACGTATCATGATCAATTTTACCTAAGCTAAGGGTACCGGCTTTAATACTGACTGCAATTTGAGAGCAGATTCTTGCTCGGCTTCGGTTTACGGACGACCTTGAAGAGCGTATAGAGAGGATGCCTTCAGTGGCAGATGAGTGATATGTTTAAGAGTCAAGGCTGTCCCTGGCTCGTCTCTGGCTCCGGCCATTAGACTTTGGCTTTGCTGGGTCACTGCTGCATTAGGATACATAGTCTGACAGCGGAAGACGAACTTGACCGGTCGCTGATTCGGGGCTCTCGGCCTCAGCTTCGGGGAAACTTACATTGCTAATTATGTGCCAGTAGAGCCACCCACATACTCCCGGGCGGGGCGGACTAGTCCGTCACTCCCTCGTCGGTCTAGCGAGCTTTCGAACCCAACAATGCGTGTTAGTGCTAGTCACCTCTTCATTATCCCGTGTTCAGGATTCACTTCTGCTCAGGCCCTCTTTCTACGGTGCGAAATTTTGTTCTGTCAATGCTAATTTACAACTCTAACCCATTAATCACAGGTTTTACATGCCCTAACCGGTAAGATACATTGCATATTCGCGAGGTTGAAATACGATCAATGACTGATGCCTGCGGATCTTGTACGATTCGGGCTAATTTGTGACAGTTACAGCCTGCCTCACCCTCGTTAATTATAACAGGTATCCCTAACTATCCGAAGCCCAGTAGCAATATCGGATGGCCAGCAGGCATTGTGCTGACGTGCGCAAACCCTGATGTACTCCCTCTGACACTTCCTTAGGCCTTCCTTGACCTAGTCGCTTTTTCGCTTTTTCGACCATACCGCAGGTGTGTTATTAAGTATGCTAAGCTGAGACCTTCTTGCCACAAGGCCTTACTCTGTCGCCTCTCACAGACTGCTCCTCAGGCTTGTGACCATCTCGTGCCACCAGTGTTGTCCCTAAGGTGATCTTTTTTCCCACCTTTGAAAATCCCAGTTTTACGCGTCTATCAATACAATGTGTCTGTCTGTGGTCGATGTAGTATGGAAACCATCCCATTCATTAGCTCTTTGCATCAGGCCCGATATTTGGAGGTTACCGGCGTGGTGAGCATGGGGGTCTTACTCGGTGCAGCTCACGTACTACGTATATTAAATGCAGGGCTCAAGGGGTTTATCCACAATAATGAGGCGGTGTTAAGAGTCTTTCACACTATTAACACTGGACGTCTCATCTTTCCACTGTGCATGCAGGAGTTCGATCGTGTCAAGCAATATTTGACGCAACTCCTTTTGGTGCTGCAACAAGTTCTGTGATCATATCTATGAGAGCTTAAGTATATCACTGTGTCTGTCTATGACAGGTCGCATTCAAGGATAGCTTCTGGACGTATCAGCATTGATAATCTGCCTCTAGACATTAAAAGGTACACTACAAAAGATCCTCTACCCTTGCTGTCATATCAGCTCTCCTCAGACGCCGTCCGCCGCGCAATTTCTGGTGGGTCATCTCAGCAGCGACACCGGTCAATTGTCCTGCGGTATCTCAGGTTCGTCGAGGTGACGAGTGAGGGACTTCCCAGCTGACTACAATGAACGTATATGAATCTTCACATTTGCCACGTGAGCAACATCCATAAAAAGAAGATGGAAATAACCAGCTTCCGTCCATGGGAGATAACCCATCCTCATAACCTCCCCAAACCCACCCAAGCATCACCTTCTATAGTGTCTTTGATCCCAAAGCTACCCGCCCAATCCATCGATGGACGTTTGTCAGACCTTTCAATCCTGCCACCACAAGGCGTCTCTAGCAGTTGGATGACTCCGGGAACACGTTAGCCCTCTTTCCGCGACTAGAGTTGTTGTTGAGCTAATATCTTTCAGATCTTTCCGTAAACTCTGTTAATTCTGCGAACTCGATGCCTTCTCTGAACTCTACACATTCTCCTACCGGTCCTTCACTACAGAAACCGCAGAACACCACGGCCCTACCAGTACCATTTAGTTCGAGTCTGTCGTGTCAGCCAAACGGGCTTACGGCGCTTTCAGCTAACCTGAACCGGCATCACTGTGTTGAATCTAGGCGTGGCAGCGTCACTAATAACGTCCACCATGGTACGGATAATTTAGGGTTAGTTCCAACGTCGCCTTGTACCAGCTCCAATGCTTCTGACCCTTCCCCGGTCGCTAATATTTATAGAGAACGAAGGATACAACAGCACGGCCACAATAGTAGCCGCTATTCAACCCTAAACACTTCAGCTGCTCTCTCTACGTCCAGTCGCTGTGGACAGAGCGAGTTTGTCGGACGACGTGTAGCGCCCCCAACCCTAGAAAATCCAAAGCAGGAAGCTCGACTGCCTCTTGGACAGCACGGTAAATGCACCGCTCTCCTTGTCAATTCGGTGACACTAATTCACATTTATTTTAGAACTACCAGAATTCTATCACTACTCCCTTCAAAATACACAAGCCTGCAGCCTACGGGGAGACACTGATTCTCCCAACAGAAGCATTCCATACAGCCGGACTTCAGAACTTCGACTAACACAAAATCTTGCCGAGCGAAAGCGAAGAGACAAGATAAAAAATTATTTTGAGTAACTCAGAGCTCGTTTACCAGATACCCAGAACAACAAGACAAGCAACTGGGAGACATTGTCACGTGGTCAGTATCGTGACGCTAAAGCTCTTTTGACAATCTCGCTGATCATTTGCTAGCAATCCATTACATCAGACAATTAGAAACCCAGAGCACGCAGGCACGAGTTAATTATGAATCACGAAGACTGAAGCTTGCTGAGCTGGAGGCGAAGATACACAAGATGAGCGAGCAAATGCGAGGAGTTTCGCCACCACAGAGATCGTTTCCTTCTCCACCGAACGCGTAATACGAGTCTACTCGGTTACGGCTCAAGTTTCGACTCGGCAAACCCAACCGAATATAACTGCCAAGTACAATTATAGAATCAAAATAAGATATACAAGATTCTAAAGAGCGATACTGAAGCTAAGCATTGCGGTCTCATCCTGGCCACGATGCTTCGGATTGTACTGCGTGGCTGTCATTCTGGCCATGTCTCAGTTGCGAAAGCACACTATGTTAGATGAAGATGTGCTAGTTAGGAACAAGCTCTTAATATTTTGCGATGTCGTCCTACGAATGCTTCAAAATTCGATATGGCTTCTTGGGATATTGTAATCTTGAATAAGCTTCTGACACATACCAGATTGCGCGTTTCAGTGCAAGAGAGAGATATTTTGTCCGCATCTCATGACGAGGGAGGAGTATCATCGATGACAAAAGATAATTCATCTGCAAAACTAATTAATTCAGAAGACCGCGGAGTAGTAACACATATGAGGGTGAGGGAGAGGGATTAATCTAGCCTAAACGTGAAACAATATCGACTCTTCATGATGATGGTCTAGGATAGAGAATTCAAAAGCTTAGGCGAATTGACAAGGTTTCTTTACCCATGGTCGCGGGTGGTAATCATGACTACCACCTCAAAACAACCTCGCTCAGCTTGTGACCTCATCCAACATGTTTGGTCAGACAGATTATGTGCCAATGAACTATGCACCCCTTGATCCAGTTGACTTTGCGGCACTCCCTTACACTCATTTATTTATAAACCTACGAATTTAGATCGGAGGATCAGTACAGGCAGATGGAAGATCGCCACTCATTTCAAATGAACAAAGAAGCACGGACACTTCAATCCTCGAACAGTATGAAGTCGGCATGGCCAATCTTATCCCCATACAGTTCAGTTTTCCGATCATGCCAGATCGCTTTACACGTCAAAACGAGTCGTTTGGACAAAATTTTCATCAGAGGGGTGAGAATGGTTAACTGCCAGTGAGCTCTGGCCCATAAACTGTATCGATGATATCGTTGTTTATCAAGATCTTTTTTTCTTAAGGAGGTTACCACTCACTAAGTATCTATGCTGATTGAGACGCCCTGGCTCAACTGTGGAAGGCTGTCTGAAGGAGGCTCAGCCTAGAAAGTCACGCTAGCCATTGGCGTCCTGCGAGGACGCCATGTGGGGCGTCCAATTAGTACCTAGTGGGTGGGAGCTGTTTTCCCTTATCTGGTAGCCCCTTAGTGACCTGTCCTCGTTCCCCAGAGATGCCACTAGACTGACTGGCTGGCTTTGTTTCATTGCCATCGCTCATTATGATCGTCCATTGGGCTGCTGCTTAGCCCTGTCACCGCCAAAGCCCAGCAACAGCAACAGCACCACCAACACTCGTGGCCATCGGCACTGTCCCCTCGTTTTTTCACGCCTAAAACATTGTCTTCCTCTCCCCGCTCCCACCAACACATAAGGCTTGAAGAGCTGGCACTCTGTGGTCCTTGCACTAGGCCCTCACAGCCCGTGCATATTGCTCTCAGACAAGCACCGAGCCGAAGCGCCCACGTCGGAACTTTCCATCATTGCCACCGCCCAGCTTGTGTGATCTCTCGATCTATACTCTGCCCAACTCGCTCCAAAGACTTGCTTGTTCTTCTATCATTCACTGCCTTGTAACCTCAGTAACACAACCGCCAAAACACCAGAGCAGAGGACATGTAGAGTCTCCCTACAGACACGCAAATATCTCCTTCTGCACCAGAAGACCCTGTGGTCTTGTTCATGAGCGCGACTGCCGGAATCTCATGAACCGGCGCAACCTGGCAAAGGAAGAGATTTAAATCTGCAAGGAAATCGACATTACGACTCTTTTTGGAGGGCAAGAAAACATATTGACAAGTTGGCGTCATGGTGACTTTGGACTTAGGTCTTAGGCAAGGGTGTGTTCACCCATGACATGTGTATGTGGTTTAAGGACTCTACTTATGGACTGGACAGGGACATCTTGCTTCCAATTAGTTATCCAGATTTGGATGTCATCAAGCCTAATGGCAGTGCTTGTTCTCGGTTTGGCATGGCGAATGGCCTCAGCATCTTGACCGCTCCGGTGAGCAGCCTAACGACTTCCATGTGCTCAAGGCCTACTTCTCCGTGTTCTTGCGCACCCTCATCAGCGGCATCCGCTTCAGAATTGTCGGGCTACAGCCTTCCTCCAGAGTCCATTACTCGACGCTCGACGTGGGATAAGAGAGAAGCTTCTGGCCTGCGCAAATCACTCCCGTCCATACATGAGGCACTAGGAGACATACCGATGTCACTATCTAATTCTCTGTCTCTCACCTCCCAGCAGCTCTCACTTTCGACCCCTACCACCGCCGCGAGCCAGAGCTTTCCCGAAGGTGCAGAATTACCTGACAATACCATTCCACAACATCCAGGTCCAGAGCCCGGTCTTCGAAATGTCTTTTTAGCGCCTCCGAAGAACGACTCGATGCTTGTTTACAAGCCTTCAATGCGCTCTACTAAACCTATGTCTCAGCGTTTTGATCACCGTGAATTTCCACCACCCCAGCCGCCACCTCCTGCCATTCGTTCCTCGTCACTAGCTTTTAGGTCGCTCAGCAGCCATAATGATCACCCAGCGACATCCCCTCAATCCTTTGATGCTCCAAAACCGCCGCTCCCTTTGCCGCTAGTCGGTGCTAAGCCTACTTCAAATGGACTACTTCCACATGTCCCTGTCCCGTTTTGCACCGACGCTAAGGCTGACCTTCAGCAGCCGGCATATCCCAGAGTAGAAGATGTTCACTTCGGCGACAGCTTAAGCCGACACCCGGATGTATTTAACGCCGAACTGGGATTTAACAAAGTGAAATCTTGCCTTGTCTCTCACACCGGATGCAATGCTAATTAGATGCAGATTAGCGAAGCCTCTGCCGCGACGCTTGATTCCGCGAGAGCCTGGGCCTCGCGCTTTCACCACGGAACCAACTCGGGCTATTTATACGAAGCGCTCCCAAGTTTGAGTGAGGTTGATAAAGTTATTCGACAATCCAACCAAATCTTTGAGAATTTGACTCATCTACGTGATCTGGTGGTTACCCAGCAGATTTCAATTTTGGAAAAACAGGCACGACAGGCTACAGAGCACCATGGCCTGTCTAAAGGGTACGGAGCTCCAAGTCTTACCGACAGAGAAGGAAGGCATACCAAAAAAAATCAACGCGAAGTGAGTCTCTAATCTTTGGCTGTGAGGAGGTCAAAGCTAACATCTGGTCAGCGAAAGGCTTCGCCACGGGGACGCTGCCATAGCTGCAATCGTGGCAAAACCCCTGAGTGGCGAAGAGGCCCTGATGGAGCTCGCACGCTATGCAATGCCTGTGGTCTACAATACGCGAAATTAATGCGAAAGATGAATGTCAACTAGGTAGCGGCCCTGACGGCTATTTAGAACAAACACTGCATTGATATAGGCCCAGCATTTTCAACGAGGAATATATTTCACGGTACATACCTGATTCTTTTCAGAGATGACAATGATAATTGCACAGCTTCAAGGTGCTACGGGGTCATAATTACTTATTATTTCCTTTGTTAGTTTTAAAGTTCCGGGAATCAAAGCCCATTTCGACATTTGCGATATAATTGACGGAACGACGGTTGGGGCTGTGATTGTACAGATGGGTCTCAGGAAAGAATATGTTAAAAGCGATGGTGGGTAAAGGAACGGCGTATATTTGGACAAGCGTAAGGGTAGAGGTACTCGGGAGTATGAGCGATCATTTGATGTCGCTAGAAAGCGTCTGTGTTAACCCAATACCAATGCCTTCAACATGTCATACATGTCTACTGCTATTGTTGTAACCTAACGCTAGAAGGGGTTGAAGTGAGCGGGGCGGGAGGTCGTTGTAAGGGGATACTGCGGGGCATAGAGTCAAAAGCGGATGGGTTTCTAGGATTGCTTTTCGCTGGGGCTGTCAAGTCAACGCTGGTGACGGTGACAGCAGAACGCATCCTGGGTGAGCCTGCATCCTACAAATACACCAAGTCCACTCAGTATGGAGACTACATACAGGATGCACAGTGCGTGCTCTCGGTCGGGATGTGGGGTAGCTGAGCAGCCGTTACGGAGCGCTAATCATTAGGAAATGCAGGAGGTCGTTCACGCGAATCCGCCAGTTACTGGCTTTACATCGGAGGCTATTGTTTGTCCTGATGTGAAGGAGCGAGATTTCCGATATACAGCGATTCTTATCTATCCCAGGTTAGTGGTCTTGTCGAGAGACGCTGCGGGAAGAATAATAGGAAACAGGGAGCACCACCCAGGCATTCGTATTGACAAGCGCTATACCCGGTTGTACGGAGTACCAGCTCACTCAAAAACTCACTTAGGCATCCAGACAGGCATTTACCAAGGTGGCACCTTCGACGTGTAATACTTTGAATTGCAGTAGTTCAAAACGGGCTAGCTACGGGCTATCCATTTCTCGCCTGGAGCTTGACTCCATCTGCTTCGCTCGCTTGTATTCTCGCGTGAAAACGCTGGAGGCTGGCACGTCTCTTGATGTACTATGATCAACAACGCCGTGAAGCTCCGTCACCCTAAGTGACCCAACGTTCGACTTCAATAGTTAAGAGGCATAGAGTCAATCGGTCAAGGCATTTATTGTCCCCGCAACAAGTGCCTTAAACCTTTGTGAAGGTAAAATTCGGGCGTCTACATTCTATCTCTAGTATTCATCTGGCAATAGTACTGTGCTTGCAGTCTCCCAAATCGAGATCAGTCAGACATAAATGAGCTGTAAAACGACCATATTGCTGGGCAACCGAGAAATTGAACTAGTTGATGAAACTCACGTCAAGGAGTGGGTAAGCATCTGTGGGAAGGAGATTTGAGTCCTAGTATGGAGTACCAAGCTCGGCTACACATTTCTGGTGGCGGCAGGGCATTCCCAACACCCGTGCGATGAGCATCTTCAACGTGGAGACCGATGCTTTGCGAAATTCGAACAGACGAACCCAGTATTGTTCAACATCGTTCGGTCTGACAAGTAGCTAAGAGTCAGAGTCATTGAGCGAGCAGAGCGCAAGTACGGTTAACCGTATGGCTCGAGCTATAGGTTTTCGCAATAGCTATCGCACGGTCGAAATGACGTTGATACTAACAAGAGATCTGCGGACGGGAAGTTTCTCCTTCGGCCTCGGGCGATCCCCATGTAACAGGAAGCCTCTCGCACGAGCTCGTACAAAACTCTAAATATGGATCTACTAGAACCTAATGTGCAGTAGTTCAACGCTAGAATGGTACTTAAGAACACAGAATACCAGTTCTTACGTGTGCGGTCTGGGATAATCCTGCAGTGGTGCGGTGTTACGTTTCGCTCCACACAGGGTGTCACAAGACGTATGGTCTCGATAGGCGGGAAGTATAAGAGGCGAGGTCACTGAGAGCGCGGTACTTAAGCGAGTATAAGAGCGAAGTGATCACAACTAAAACGTATGGGTATGATCATGAACAAAGTTAACTACGTGGTAAAGCTATATAATGACTGTGTATATATAATCGTTTAACCTTTTTGGGCTCTCTCCGGCTTTAAGGGCTCTATAGTGAGAGCCAGGAGAGTTAACAGAGCCCGCAGCCCCCTGGGCTCTATGGCCTCATTTCTTAGGGTTCTAAGAGTCACTTTTACTATGTGACCACACCCTTAGGCTTTCATATGTTTTAGACGTATTAACGCCAACTAACTATTATCACAGCTTTATCTATGACCTCATAAGAGGCCTAATTTATAACACTTTTCCTCTCCTTAAACTTATTTATTGTTTATAACGTATATAAGGTAAGTTAGTCCCTATTAATCGCGTGGTTCCTTCTCGCGCTTCTAACCATGGCTTATAATGTTATAGTACTATCTGTAAAAATGTCCTAACTTCTTTACCCTTTATCGTTTAAATACCGCGAAATAAATTAAATTCCTTAGGGTTAAGTATCTAGACATAAGTTATTATTCTCATTATTATGAGTAGAACCTTATTTACTATATAATTAAGGGTTATATAAAGTGTAATAACTACACTGCGTTAAATGTGAAATATTGTGATAGTTATTTTTCGGATGCTGAGTTTAACAGTTTAAAGCGCCAGAAAGAGGCGCTAAAGAAATCTGTGAAGAATTAGCGGGCTAAGGTCGCTTGTCTAGCTGCTACAGTAGTATTAGTGTTTATGGCACTAGCTTTAGCTTAGGAGAAAGAAGTTAAGCTAAATAAGTGGTTAAATAAGTTAATTACTAGGTAGTTAGAGATATTAATTTAGGAAGTAAAGGCTCTAGACACTTTAGATAAGATAAAGGGGTTTACCGCTTTAGAGTCTTAAGTAGTTTTCTCCTTATCTAAGCCCTTTATATAGAATAACTTAATGGTGAATTTTAATTTTACTGGCTTTAGTGAAACTACTAAACTACACTATGTGCCTAGATAAGATATTCTTCTAGTTTCTATATGTTTTCTAAATTATTATATCCTAATTACTTAGTTAGGTAAAATCGTTATTCTCTCTTAACTTTAAGGTCTAAGATATATTTCATATCCTATATTAGCTATTAGATTTCTTTATAAATTAGTATTAGTCCTAATTTAGCGTTTAATAATGCCTTTTTAAGAAGTGATTTATAAAATATTAGGTAAATATTTATTTCCTTAGATAGTTCTAATTCGAATATCACTAGTCTAAGTTTTTTCTTAATTTTATAGGGTCTAATCTTAGTATAATCTAGCTTATTAAATAGTCTTTATGTTTTAATGTTTTTTCTAAGAAGGTAGACTACCTTCCCTTCTTTAAAGTTTAGTTCCTTAGATCTTTATTTATTTATGTTTTTAACTGTTTTTTATGATATTTTTTTAAGTTCTTATTTTAAGAGTTTATATAAAGATCATAACTTCTTAACTAAGATTGCCACTTTTTCTGTAATCAGTTTAATATCTCTTATGTCTTTCTTAATTCTTAGGTAATATCTATAGTTCGCATAAAATGGTAAAACTCTTATGACTAAGGTACTATTATTATAAGTGAACTATATAATAGGTAGTAGTGATACTTAGTTATTCTATTAAAAATTGATATAACATTATAAATATTGTTTTAGTGTTTAGTTTATTCTCTTTATTTACTTATTACTTTATAGATAGAACGCTATTAATAGTTTTTAATGGACTCCTATAAAATCCATTAAAGATTACTAAAACTATGATATAAATAGTTTATCTCGATCTAAGCGTATTTCTAATAGTATTCTATATTAACTAATAATGTTTTTATAAAGAGTGTAAACCAATTTTTCTACTATTAATAATTCTTTATATAAGATAAAATGTGCGTATTTTATTAGGATATTATTTATTATAAGTATACTATTAAAGTTTATACCTATAAGGGGCTCTTTAGACTTAGGTAACTTAGTGATAAAGTCTAGCGTAATTACGTGCCATACTTCTCCTAGTATTACTAGTGTCTAGAGTAATCTATATAGTTTATATTAAGTATACTTTACTTTGTGATATATATCGTAATTCTTAACATAGTTTATTATGTCTTTTCTGACTCTCTTCTAGGTAAAGTCCCTCGTAACTAACTTAAGTGTTTTCTTAATACCTAGGTATCCTACTAACTTATTATTATGTCGTTCTTTAATGATTTCTTTCTTTTATTCTTCTATTAGCTTAACTTCTATAGATATTAGTACCTAGATTTTTAGTGTTATATATATTAAGGCGCTATTTCTTTCCTTAAGTATTACCATGAGTTCTAGTTTAATGTCTTTTATATAGTCTGGTCATTAGCTAAGTATATTTACTATAGCGTTTTCTTTTCCTTAAATATAATATATCTAGAAGTTATATAGTGTAAGTATTTCTACCTATTAAACTTATTTTCTATTAAGCTCTTTTATTATTATTTAGTATAGTAAGTTCTTATAGTTAGTGTAGATCTAAATTTAATACTTAGTACCTTTAAGATATACTCTCTATTTCTTAAGATATTTAACTATAGTAAGTAGTTTCTTATTATAAATATTATAGTTTAATTCCGGCCCTATTATTTTTCTTAAGTAGTATATAATAGTATAAGTCTTACTATTTAATCTCTTTTATATGAGGTAGGCTCTAATTACTTTATTTAATGTATCTATCTTCACCTAGTATTCTAGCTTAAAGTTATATATCATAAGTACTAGCGCCATTATAATGGCTTTCTTAAGGCGATTAAATACTTCTTTACATTTTTATTTAAACTTAAATAAGATATCCTTCCTAATAAGGTTTATTAATGGCGCTATAATCTTTAAAAATCCCTTAATAAATCTTTAGTAGTAATTAAGTAATCTTATAAAGACTTATATCTCTATAATATTCTTAAGTTCTAGCTAATCCTAAATTAGCGCTATCTTATTAGGGTTCACTTTAATACTCTTATTAAATATAATATAACCTAAAAAGTAAATGCATTATTTATAAAATTTATATTTACTTAGTTTTATAGGTAAATCCTTTTTCTTTAGTTTATAAAGAACCTTTTAAATATATTTTATATATTCTTTATATATCTTTAAGAATATAAGTATATTATTTAAATATACTATTATAAAATTATTAAGATATTCTTAGAGTGTATTATTAATTAATTCCTAAAAAGATACTAGCGTATTAGTTAATCTAAACAGTATAACATAATATTTATATAGTCTAAAACGGGTTTTAAAGGTAGTTATTTATTTGTGGTCTTTCTTTATCCGTACTTAGTAGTAGGTGTCCTATATATTAATTGCGATAAAGTATTTTGCTTTAAGGAGTCTATTCTATAGTTCCTTAATTAAGGGTAATAAATACTAGTTCTTTTTTATGATTATATTAAGTAGTTAAAAATTAATATATAGTTAAAGAGATTTATCCTTTTTTAGGGCGAATAGCACTCTATATGCTATAAATAACTTAGATAGTTTAATGAAGTCTTTCTTTAAGTGAGTCTTAATGTACTCCTTAAGGAAATCTTCTTCCTTCTTAGATAGTTACTTAAGCCACTCATTATGCTTAGATACTTTTCTATCTTTAAGCGTAATTTCGTGGTTCTATGGTTAATATTCTAATAGTACTACTAACCCTTTTCTTTCTCTAAAGAGGTCTTTAAAATCCTTATATTCCTTAGATAGACTTACCTTTTTTATACTGTTTAAGGCCTTTCTTCTAGGTTATATCTATACTACTCTCTATAAAGATACTTTAAAAGTTAATCGTTTCTTTCGCTTCCTTCTTTTATAACTATAATTTAGAAAGGACAAGATTTATTTTTTCTAGCTTATCTCTAGATTATGTTCCTAAAGTCATTTTATCTTTAGAACTATATTATACTTAGTTAGTATCATATTAATGTCAACCTTTTCATGGTGATCACTAATCTTTAACTAAGTGTCCCAGATTTCTTTCTATATCCATTTATTATTGTACTCTGCTGGTGTCCTATTTACTATAAGTAATGAATATAATTATTTTTTCCTGTGTATTTTAAATCGTACTACTACCTTTAATAATATGTAGTCTCAGTTAGCTCTATAGTTAATCATTACCTATATAGACTTATTAGCTAGTTTAGCGCTAAAGACTAATGGCGTTAAACGCTAAGTCTATATTATGTTAAATTGTCTAGCCTAAGGCTTCTTTTATTAAGGGGTCTTCTACCTTAAGAGAACTTCTCTCTATCGTTTTTTAGTATATTATTTATATCCGTATTTTCCTTTCTATAAATTCGCTAGAGAACTTCTAACGATATTTTAATGTTTATCTTTTTCGTGCTTCTCTCTTTATACGCATATAATGCTAGCGTAAATGGGCACTATATATCTCTATATAGATTAATCTATATTATGCGTAATGTTCTTAGCCTTACTTCCAAATTAAATATAGTATAGTAGTGCTATATATTATATAGATAGTGTGGTCACTAGCATAGAATTAGCTTTCAGTATAGCGTTATAATAACATAATATGTTTTAGTTATACTTCGCATAATAAACTTAACTAGGTTATCTTCCTTATCTAGGAAATTAACCATTATAAACTCTTCTTCTTCATTTAAGTCATTATTAAGTGAATAGTGTATCTCACTCCTATACACTTTATATATATACATTCCTTTATGCGGATATAGCTTATCTTAATATATATTAAGAGCCATTATCTTTTACCTTTAATTAGGGTTACTATAAGGTGTGAATTATATATTTCTAGTTAGTATAGTTAACTAGTAGTGCATACTAATTATTATTACTCCTAGTGTCTTTTCCTTTTTATAGTAATGCTCTATAATGTCTTAATTAATCTCTTATGGTGTGAGGTTTTCCTTTTCCTTAAACGGAAAGAAGTATAGTAACTTTGTGCTAGTTTAATGTGTGTGGGGTTTAAGGCCTTTACACTTAAAATATCACTATATAGGAACTTTTTATGCTTCTTTCTATTTCGTGATATGATCTAGGTAGTAGCTATTAGTTATTAACCTAGTTCCTAGTATCTATTCCTTATAATAGACCTAATTAGTGATCTTAATAACTATATAATAATAGTCATGAAATAACATAGTGTTATATAGTGAGTCAGAGTTCTTAGAGCCCTAGTCTAGTTTATTCTTTCCTTTAAACGAAAACTCGTAACGGTCTTCCCTTAGTATATTATGTGTATATACTAGTGTGGTATATATTAAGCTTTCACACGCTATAATGAGAACTAGGTCCTCCCTAATCTTAGGGTCTCCCTATAGGTTAATTCTTCTATATACTATTATGTAATTAGTATAATAGTATTATATACATAGTATATTTATTTAGTACTTTGTTATTAATACTATAATATCGTTATAGTTTAATATGACTTAATATTTATTAGTGTGTAGTAATGTTATTTATTACTCTATAGTAGCTATAATTTCTAATTTCATAAGAATGAATTCTTTGTCTTCGTTATTAGGTGCCCTAGTATCTATAATCTATAGTGAAGACTCTTCGGCTTTCATTATAGCTAATTCCTTAGGGTCTTTCTAGTTAGTGCTCTCTATCTTTTGTGCCTTATCATGATGGTTTCTACGCTTTCTTTCGTGAGGAAACTATCCTAATCTCTCTTTATTAGAAAGGTAAATAAGGTAGTGATTATTATAGTAAGTAGTCTAGGATAAAAGTGTGTGTATAGCCTTATTATTAGCCCTATTATTAGCTTCTTTATTCTGTTCCTTTAGATTAGGAAAGGTTCTCATGGTTATAGTAATCTCTTTATCATGTTCTGATAATAGTAGTGAAGTTACTCTCTCTACCTAGGTCCCTTTAGGTATTCCCTTCTATGCTTTCTTAGTGCGGCTAGCCTTTTTAATGGTGTTCTCCTTATTTAAGGAGTTATGAAGAGTCTAATAGTATCGCTACCTCTTATTATATAAATAGCGTACTTTATTAATACCTTTCGCGAATGTTTTCAATTGGCGCTTAAGTTTTAATACTTTTATTAGAGTGTCAACCTTTTATTCTCTAATACTAACTATTTCTTCTATTATGTGTAGTTCTATAGGCTTTATACTGTATTCTCTAGCCCTATGTTCGGATTTTCTATAATTATAGCACAGGTTTTCTTTCTTTCGTTATTCTCACTCTTTATTGAATGGCCCCTTACGCTAAAAGCGGCCCTTTAATTATGAGAACTAGCCTTATTCCATAACATTAAGGTTTATTAAGTCACTATAAAACTAGTAGCTTAGGTAGCTACTTTTATAGTATATGCCATTAGTCTTTCCGCGGTAATCTTTACGTTTTAAGTTTAGTTTATAGAGCTAATTATTAATTTTAATGGCTTAGTTAATTAGTCCTTTATAGTTTATAGGTTTATTTAGTCCTATTTCTTTTTTTATAGCGTCTTTTAATCTAGTGTAGAAGGCTATAGTGAACGCGTTATCTTCTTAGTCTAACTTAGCCTAAAGTCACTTAAATAGCGCATAATATTAAGCTGCCGAGCCTATCTATTTAAGCTAATAGATTTATTAAGACGTGACTTATTCTTCTCTAGGGATCCTAAAGATCTATTTAATGCGATCCATAAAAATAGCGAAGTTCTTAAAGATTGTAATAATCTTTAGGTTCTTTTATGCCTAAGGTGAGATTAAGTGGTTCATTATAATGGGTTCAAATTAATAGAAGGCTAAGCCCTTTATGTGAAGTCCTATAAATAAGACCCTATTCTTCTAAGTAGTATACTTAGTTTAATTTAACCTAAAGGTCGCGATAAGCTAAGTAATAAATAACCTAAGCTTAGTATGGTCCTTATAGAACGAATTAACCTTGTTATTATTCTTGTTATTATTATAGCCCCCTTAAGTGATAGTGCTATAGAATGATGGGCCTAGGGTCAGGGCGCTAGAGCGGACCGACCTAGTTAGAGATAGTGAATAAACTGATTTAGGGTTTAAGGCGGACATTGTGTTAAATATTTCTAATTAAGAGATAGTTAAAGTGTTACGTTTCGCTTTATATAGAGTGTCATAAGATGTATGGTCTTAATAGGCAGGAAGTATAAGAGGTAAGGTCACTAAGAGCGCGGTACTTAAGTAAGTATAAGAGCGAAGTGATTATAACTAAAACGTATAGGTATAATTATAAACGAAGTTAACTACGTGGTAAAGCTATGTAATGACCGTGTATATATAACTATTTAACCTTTTTAGGCTCTCTCTGGCTCTAAGGGCTCTGTAGTGAGAGCCAGGAGAGCTGACAGAGCCCGTAGCTCCCTGGGCTCTATGGCCTCGTTTCTCAGGGTTCTAAGAGTCACTCCTATCACGTGACCACGCCCTTAGGCTTTCACGTGTTTCGGACGTATTAACGCCGACCGGCTATCGTTATAGCTTTATCTGCGGCCTCATAAGAGGCCTGATTCGTAACATTAGCCTTACGTAGTGTGATTAGCCTTACATAGGTTAACTAGTTAATACTTATAGCTTATGATAGAATAGTTAATATAGTTAATAATATCTAGGTGCTATTAGATAGGCATCCTTAGGTTGTTAATATCGTGAATTGTTTTAATGCTAAATAGAGGATAGAACGCTTCTAGGGTAAGTGCCGTCATGAGGAAAAATGTCATAGGACAGAGTGCTAACACTGGACGCTTAAGGACAATAGTGATACTAGAATCATCATATCAATAAGTAATCATCATTAATATTACGTACACTTACGGCGTTCCTGCTCTCTTTTTATATGGTAGGCCCGCTTCGGCAAATCGATGCGGTGAAGCTTAATCGGGGTCATCTTGTCTTGGCAAAGAATAACTCTACAATGCTAACATTAAAGGAAGCGCTTCGCTGTGAGGCACTCTTCTGACACAGTCCCAATGAAAATCGCGGGCCTTTAACCTGATCCTCCCTTGAATAGTACATACGCATGGAATGAGATCTTGCAGATCACAAAGACTGGAAGTGGCTCTTGAGTTTTACCCAGAGCTTGTTAAGCAGATCCCGGAAGTCTGCTAGAGTTATAGCGTCCGTTTGGCTAGGTGCATCATCCCGTAAATTAAACTTAACGTATCTGGTAGCCCCCTTTTTTAGTTCCTGGGCATCGGTTAACGATATTCCTACCTCAGGGATCAAAAGGACTGCACCTTCATCAAGGTGTCCACGATGTCCGGGTTGAGGTCAGACCCGAAATGTTGGATATAAAGCTTGGCGGGGAATGGACTCTACCACGCGAGGTTTTAGTCTACCTTTGTTTAGACTTTTTCCTCTCTGTCTGAGATGATACTTGATGTAGGCGGCACAATTTTGAAGCGTCACCCCAGCTCTACGGATAATAGTATACCAGTACCTTGCAAGTAAACCTAATGGACACAAGGAAGTAGACAGGGGTGTACCGGCACCATGATATTCATTCGCGCCTGTCGCGAGCGATAGTCTCATCACTGGCTTGCGACACTTTCCACGCCCTTCAGTTAGCATGAGAACTGTCTTCGTCGTCATAAAGTTGGTGCCACTCTTTCACACTCTGAGCTCACGTCGGTCTCCTCAGACGTTTCTAGACCTGAAGAGGTAGAGAATTCACGAACAATTGACCTAGAACTTAACATTCCGAAACAGAGGCACAAGGCAGTCTATTGTAACAAGAAGAGGGCGAGAGGAAATGAGAGATGGGAAAACTTGAGGCATTGACCAGATTTAATCAGGGATAGGGTTAATAACTTGTGTTCCATCCTGTTTGAAGAGGCAGGCCTGGTACCTTGAAGTCGGAAGATGAGTCTTCTTGTAAAATATCTTTGCCCCCGGCGTATCGATACATATATTTACTATATCTGACACGGCCGTACCTCTCCATCGCACCAACCAAATCCTTATCCCTGAAAATCAAACTCAAGGACGCAATCACTGTGAGGGTTCTAGGTAAGCGCCGGGCCCGAAGACAGAAGAGCGCACTGGTGGACTGTTGACGAGCAGATGGGGTGGGTGGACAGAGCTGTTTTAGAGAAGTGAGGCACAGACAGCAAGATTTCTTCAGCTCTCGGCGTAGTTACCATTCGAGGATCTCACGACTCACCTAGGGGGAGGGATGTCAAAACACCGGCGGAAAGCGTGCACACCGTCCAGACTGGTCGGACGGGAAGAGCAAAGAACGTGCTTGCAAACTTGAAACATGAGAGAATCTCGCGGTGATGTTGACCTTGTGGTCGCACATGGAGTCTGAGATCAATCGTCCTTCATCGTCCAGAACTTTAGACCAACACTCCCTTGATCATCGCAGGTCATGAAGCAGTAATCTTTGTCTACGGTCTTCGCATCCACGACATAACTAAGGTGTCCTTTCCTTGTCTCAAATTCTATACCAAGCTCAGAAGCCTCATCGCTTGTAAAAGTGCTGTAGTAACCGGCATGGTCGTAGCCGCCGAATGTGTTGGCGGAGAAGGCCTGTTTAGTCCAAAGTAAATGGTGGAGCTGATGGTAAGCTCAAGTGGGATGCAAGGCAAGACATTTCTGCGCCCGCCTTCGCTACTGCTATGCTTCTATTGACGTTAGCAATGAACCCATTTGGCTGTGGAGCACAGCCGCGCAACAATCCGATTCGGGATGTTGCAAAGCCGGTGCGAGGGCTCGCTGCAATTTCGCCGATGTTACTGTTCTAAACCCGACCCCAGGTCGAAATAAACCTGATCGGCCAAGGGCCCGTAGTCACACCCAGGTCCCACCATTGGCCCAAAGATAGGTCCGGCCGACATCGGGGGAAGTCAAGGATGGGGGGACGTTGACTCTAAAACTACAACGCAATGGAGCACAGAGACTTCGAGGTTTGCGGGACCTTTACGGGCAGTGAGAACCATGTGGTCAGTCCGGATTTCCAGGCCCAAGACCAGTTACGTTGAGTATCACGGTTGTTCTAAGTTGATCAACATTGACGGGCTTGAAACTAGCCGTCACTCCTATCAACCCGCCATTCTGGCCAATAATGAAATGGTTCTCCGCCGATGGACGAGGAGGGGAACGAAGAGATGTTTACGCTAGCAACAAGGAGGGACCTGGCTAGCGCCTCTGGCCCTTATTTGAATCACATCACAACGGCCACATGGTCGTCCATGTACTTGCTGATGTCCCCCAAGAAGCAAGCCGCGATGATGCTCACAGCCCCGAACGCGATGCTCGTATAGTACACGTACTTGTACGCAGAAGCGTAGGCGACTTGGCCAGCACTCACGACGATCGCGTAAGCGGTGTCATTGTTGCCGATACCAGGCAATGTCTTGAGCTCGGTGATCAACGACGAGGCCGTCAGCTCGATGGCTGCACCGATAATTTTGGGGTCAACAATGCCGAGCTCGAGTTCCATTGCGCCACCTATGTAGTGGGTGGCAGCGGGAACGAATTTATTGAGGAAGACCTAGAGGTGGTGAGGTGTTGGGTTAGCCAAAGCTGTCAAGGTGTGATCTGAGGGCAAATGAAAGGGGGAACGAGGTGTTAGGCCTACGTTGTAATAAACCGCATAGCCAATCGCGCCACCCACGACACGGATGGCAAGCGTTAGGGCGGCGATGGTCGCAATGAGATCATCGGGACAGATAATGGTGGTGATGATGGAGGCCGGGACAACGATGCCGCCAATACCGAAGCCGGCGATGATCAAAATGATCCAGAGCACGTTGAGGTTGTCGACTCGAGCAACGGCCATGGCCCCCGTCCCTACGAAGCATCAATTAGGGTTCAGACAATAGATAGGAGCGGTGGATCAGCAAATGTACCGGCAGTCATCATTACACTCGAAATGATCATGAGCAACTTATTCTGACCACGGAAGACGGACAAGAGCCACAGGACTACGCAAGCACCGGCAAGGATCGAGAAGCCGATGGGAATACCACGGATGCCGACGCCAATGGGATCATGACCGTAGACGTTGAATGCTTGAGTCGGCCAAAAGAGAAGCACGGAGAAGAAGTTGGCCCCGGAAATAAAAGTAATGACCAAAGTCAGAGCCAGAATGCGCGGGTCCTGTCTCAGTCGAGATGGGAAGATCGGGTGGTTTGTCCCCTTGGTCTCCCAGATCGGGAAGGCGACAAAGAGCAGAAAGCCCCCTAGGATGAGCGGGACGAGAACGTGTGGCGACGACCACTTGTATTGGTATCCTCCCCACTGCCAGCACGAAAGGTATCAGCGCTGATGGACCCGTATACATTCGAGGGAGATGACGCGGGCTTTCTTACCTGCAGACCCATCATGAACAATATCATGCCCGCGATGCTGAGAAGCCCACCAATGTAGTCGATCTGGCCCAAGACCTCACGTCTTGTGAGACCTTGACTGTTGGGACGAGGGGGAGGAAAGTAAAAGATGGCAGTCATGACCAGTCCAATGAGCGCCCAGACTCCGCAAAACAGGCCAATCCACCGCCAGGAGCTGTGGGATGCGATCAATTGGCCCCACAGAACAGACGGACAAAATGGAATGATGGTAAAAATCAAAACGGCGACGTATTTACCTCGCTTCGCCGTGGGCGCCATCTCAGATGTCGCTGCAAGGGCAGTCAGCTCGTTGATACCCGCCCCAATGCCCGAAATGACCATGCCGCCGATGAAGGTGTTCATGGTATGGGCCGTGCTGGCGACGATCATGCCTAGGACGAGGAAGCTGGCGCCCAGCAGGGCGACATATCTCCTCCCGATGAGATCCGACAGAGATCCGACAAAGGGGCAGACTGCGGCGAGCGCGAGGAGATTCCCAAGCACGAACCAAGTCCAGCGATCGGTGCCACCGAGGTCACCGTAGATGTAAGGTGGGACGCCGCCGAAAAGGTAGAGAGGGATCTGAGAGCCGGTCCAGAGAAAAGCCATGGCTATGAGGGACATGAGGCGCCGCTTGGACATCTTGGGTGCGTGATCATGGTCCAGGCCATCACCGTAAGTCCGCAGTCCGTTTTTCTCATAGTAATTTGTGTGGCCAGGCACGCGTTCGTTGGTATGGATCGGCTCGACATATTCAAAGGTCTCTTCTGCCTCTGGAGGAGAGGAGGTCTCGCGAACAGGCTTAGCAGTGTTGATTGCCATTTTTGCTGCTTGCAACCTGGAGTGCCTCGCCAGTGGAGAGGAAAAACAGAAGGAACGGGAGAGAAGACGACGACAATGAGGAAGCAGATGACGAGGATTAGAGCTGACATTTCGTAGTATTAAATAACAATCAACCATTTCCCGGTTTGCCGTTTCCCCTCATTGTTGATGACCCAGCGTGGGTACCGTGCGGTAGACCCTCTTTATGCTAGATGAATCAACATGAACAGGTGGAGTTTCAATCGGGCCACATAAGACAGGAGAGAGCAGGACAAGTAGATAACAACGATTCGACCTATAGGTCAATCGAGTGCCACACAGCTAGAATGCTCCACTGAGGAAACTGTGAGATGGATCAAAACAGTGATTCAGCGTGTACACGAGAACTATTTTGTGATGCGGGATCGGATCGGGGACGTTTTGTTGAATGATAGCTGAAAGATGTTACATTTGATTGTACACCAATGGTCCTTGTAAACCAATCGCATCCGTTCCCGCGAGCAAGCGGCCGCGGCTCAGTGGTGGAAGCACCGAGGCATCTTTCTCGGTCGCCACTTCGGCCTCGGGGGGCTCCGTGGAGTAAAACTGGGGGCGTACTTCTCCCCAGGACATCCTACAGTACTGAGAGAGGAAAACAGTCACGTGTCTGCCATGGCAAGTCAACTAGCTGCGTTATACAGTATATCATACTGTCTGGCCATTCTCGGATCCACGTCCGCTGGAAGAAATACAATTGGTTGCGGCATGTGAATTCCAAGAAGTCAACGCCTCTATCATCCACGTGTGCAATGTGGGAGCGCGTGTCCAGGCGCGGGATTGAGCTAAGAAGTGCAGCCTCGAGCCGATCTTGGACTGGCCGGTGTCGTCGACGGTGGGATCAAGATTGCATGGCATCAAGAAACACACGGACGATGCGTGACAGAAATAGGGCGGCAAGTCTTTATCTTCTGAATGTCCATTCTTTCAACGTCGCCGGCTACTGTAGCTCATAAGCGTCAATGCTCGAGCGAAGATTGACTCTCGAGCGGTCAAAGTTTGTTGATCATGGAAGGCTCGGTAGACTTGGCGCCGGTAAAAGCACAAATGCAAGGTGTATAGCTCAGGCAACATAATTTCTGCGACGAGTGATGACTAGACTATCCCGCTTGTGCAATTTAAGCGCAGTTCTTGCGATAATTGAAAAATGCGCGTCGGCAGATCGACGCCGTTGTTCTCGCAATCGGGGCCCAGCACTGAGCATATCAGTCCGTGATGGCATCGATAATCGTCACTTCGGGGTATTCGTATGATCCATTCAACATGGCAGTTAAGGAAGCGAAGAGTCGTAGTCTGAAACTAATAACATTATCTTCCGTCAGTCCGGGCAGCTAATTACTCAAGTATCTCTTAGGAGAAGAAACATTATCTACCTGAACTAAGATTTTAAACTTTCTCTCGTCGCGATCTTTTAACTATATACTATCTGAATAGATAAGAGTGTTAATACGATCTTTAATAAAGTATTAATCTAACGTAGTTCATAAGCGAGTGGTGCACCTAAGCGAGTGATACACCTTAAACTAGCCAGATAAATAGGAATCAGGATACATTATTACTTAATCATAACGCATCAGAATAATTATAATTATTAATTATTATCTTCTTTAAACGATAGAAAAACTACTTAATATTAAGAGGGCCAGGTTATATCGTGATAGAGACTTAGAAGGGTATAGCATAAGTATTAAGATAACTAGGTTATATTGTAATAGGGAAGAGTATAGCATAGTAGGCCTTTATTAATGAATGACTAGCTAAGTGATAGCTTAATAAGAACTTAGAGAGCTTAAGGAGTGTTAGCTCATAAAAGGGAGGTAAAGACCTCCTTATATAAGCGTAATTTGTAAAGGAGGTCTATATAGAAGGCTTTAGAATAGAATAAACTAGTGATTATAAATTAATAGTCTTATTATACTTAGCCTTACGCAGTGTGATTAGCCTTACGCAGGTTAACTAGTTAATACTTATAACTTTGTGATAGAATAGCTAACATAGTCAACATTAACAAGATACTAGTCTAGTTATTTTGTTATCTTTACGGTTTCTCTTGACCAGAAATCATTCATTTGAAATGGCAACATGGTGAGACTTATTTTCCCTTCGTTTCTGAACCTGAAAGCAGGGAGTTCGACTGCTGATCCTCTTCGAGAGCGAGTCCGTGGCTTGGTCGATTCTCTTGCAGAAGAGCAAAGGTCAAAGGGAATGAAACAGATGTGATTCTCCGACCGATTTGCACCATAGACTGGCCACCTCAGGGAGTTCCTGCTTGAGGAAATGGAGTACTTGTGTATCTTTGGTATGTTCATCATTCATCCCTTTCAGCTGCATCCTTGGGAGACTTTGTAAAGGCAACATAATTCATCCTCTTGGTTATGTAGCTTGGGTTCTCGCGCCGGCGAACAGAAGTGATGTTCAGAGGTTGTCGAGTGAAGCGTGAAGTGAGACATTGAAGGAAGAATAGGGCAGAGGCAGAAAGGGATGGAGGGAGAGAGGAGAAGTGCACGGGCAGGAAGGCATAGAAAGGAAGAACAGAAAAGAACAGAAAGAGGCGACAGGATGAAAAGGTGAGTGGAGTGGGGCCTGGCATCCCGCACTGACTACTTTTCGTTCTGCCTCGCCCTGACTCGTGCTGCAAAGGCCTCTGACGTACGTACTGGACAGTCGTGGGCCCCCTAGGTGCCAGCATTTAACCCTACAAGCCAGCTCCCTCTCGACCTCGCCTTAATTCGCGCATGCGCCTCTATCATACGTACCTATTACAGAGAGTTCTCCCGCACAGGATTCCTGGTGCCTGCCGGTACATCTCCTCGACGCCTTCTTCTGAAGCCAACCTGTCGCCACGAGCAAAATCCCGTGCTCCGCTGACTTCCGATGGTAGAAATGGAGAATCATCGAATACTACTACTGCATGATCGGCTCCTAAATGGCGTAATGATCAGCACCACGGTCTAGGCACCTGTACCCTGTACTTCTGTAGGAAACCCCGCAGCACACCAGCCCACAGACTGGGACCTTCGCCATTTCCCGCGCACAGTTTTAGCGTGGATATCCAACTCATTGGACTACCAAACTGCAAGATGGGCGTTGGGTTTCTCCTAGTGTCCTGTTTGTTCTCGACGGCAACTTTCTACCACTGCCAAGGCTAGGCATCCAGCATTGTTTCTTCAAATTATGAAGCAGGACTTCCCACAATTCTCAGTCGGACCGGCACAAGTAACAATGTCGCAGCTCTCGAACAGCTCCGACCTCAGCTTTGGGCCGGCGTATGTTGGCCCCGATAGGAAGTTCGATTTCACCTTACTCTTCGAGGATACCATTTTGACCATAGTCCCATCGACGTTGTTCCTTGCTGCAGCCATAGCACGAGCAGCATGGCTTTTCAACAGTCCAAACAAGGTCGTCACGTCCTTGAGTCGGTCCGCAAAGCTAGTCAGTGAACCTGGCCCTCCACTTTAAGCTCATTAACAAATACAGGTATTGCTCTCAGCATTTGCTATGATACAGCTGGCCGTTCTACTCATCCGTACAACCAACTTGCAGGTGGCCACCAAAGCATCGGTCCCTGCCGCCACCCTTGACTTCGTTGTGGCATGTGTGCTCTTCATCTTATCGTGCTTCGACCACTCCCGATCAATTACCCCATCGCCCATCATAGGGCTCTACCTTCTCTTTTCCGTGGCATTTGACGCTGTCCGACTGCGAACCTGGTACCTAATCAGCGGCCATGCAGCAAAAGGAATCGCCCACTTACTTACACTCTCCCTGATCACCAAACTTGGCGTTTTGGTCACTGAAGCCATCGAGAAGAGGGCAATCCTCCTCGAACCCTACCGAGATCTTCCTCCAGAGCAGACCAGTGGTATCTACAACAAATCAGTATTCTGGTGGGTGAATCCTCTACTCAAGCTGGGCTTCGATACCACACTACGAACCGAGGATCTCTTCACGCTTGATGAGGCGCTGTCTTCTGCGAGACTTCACCGAAGATTCCAGCTGAAATGGTCGGAAAAGCGAGCGTATTCCAGCAACAGTCTCATGTACATGTCTGCTAGTGTGTTGAAGTGGGAGCTCTTCTGGTCTGCCATACCACGATTGCTGCTCTCCGCGACAAGATTCTCTCAGCCGTTTTTGATTCAAACAACCATCCGTTACGTGAGCGACAGAACAGATCAACCAGCATCTTATGGTTGGGGACTAGCAGCCGCATTCTTCTTGTCTTACTTCGCGGTGGCCATATTCACTGCAGCATATCAGCACCTAGCCAATCGCTACTGTACCCAGCTACGTGGCGGCCTGCTGACGCTCCTTTACGACAAGACCATCAATCTCAGCCTGACTGCGGTCGATCGGGAAGCCGCAATGACTCTGATGTCCGCTGACACCAACCAGATGGTCGATGTCTTGCCGTTGCTTCACGATACATGGTGTGGAGTTCTTGATACCGCCGTTGCTATGTTCATCCTGTACTACTACCTTGGCTCCACGTGTTATGCACCGGCAATCGTCTACGTCATCCAGCTTGGAAGCACAGTCGGACTTGCCCGTGTCATTGCGCCGTTGCAGAAGAAATGGCTTGATGCAGTACAAAAGCGCGTGTCGTTCACATCAGCACTGCTGAACTCGATACGAAATGTCAAATTGCTTGGACTTGGGGCAGTGGTTGAGAATCGTACACATGCCTTACGACTGGCTGAGATTGCTATTTGCAGAGCCTATCGCTTGGCAGACACAGGTAGAATCGTTGTTCAGAACGGAGCAAGCATATACGCTCCCTTTGCTACTTTTCTTGTTTATTACATCAAGTCGCTCCAATCTGGAGCCTCCCTGGACATTCCTACAGCCTTTGGAGTTCTGACTATTCTTCGAACCATGGAGGGGCCACTTAATCTTGTGATATTTGCGTCAGTCAGGCTTACTTCATCGCTATCCTGTTTCCAGCGTATTCAAGAATACCTTCTCTCCGACTCGCGCAATGACAATCGTTTGTCTCTGCAAGATGTTTACGACTCGGAGGAATACTGGCAGCCACAGAGTTACTCAGATGCCATTTCACTCAGACGCATGAGTGTGTCCCGAAGCCCAGCGGACGATGCCATTGTCTTGAAAAATTGTTCGTTTGGTTGGGGGAGGGGCAGTGAGCCAGTCGTCAAGGACATCAACCTATCACTAAGCGTTGGATCCTTTACAATGATCATTGGTCCCGTCGGCTGTGGCAAGTCTACTCTTGTCAAAGGTATTCTCAGTGAAACACCACTTTCGCGTGGATTCGTCTATGTCAACAACAATGCCATCTCATTTGCAGACCAAGAGGCCTGGATTCAGAATGGTACAGTTAGAGATAATATTTGCGGAGCAAGCCAATTATCTGCCGACGCGCTCTGGTACGATGAAGTCATTGCTTGCTGCGGACTGACTGAAGATATTCAAAACTTCCCACGTGGCGACGGGACTATCGTCGGCTCTAAAGGACTCTCGCTGAGTGGTGGCCAAAAAGCTCGCTTGGCGCTTGCTCGTGCTGTCTATGCTAAAGCAGAAACTCTTATCCTTGACGATGTCTTTTCAGGCCTCGACAACGAGACCGAGGAGCTAATATTTCGCAGACTTCTTGCTCACAATGGGCCGCTGAGGCGATTGAAGACAACAGTGATCCTTGCCACACATGCCATCAGGCGTCTACCCTACGCAGATATGATAATTTCGCTGGGCTCTGATGGCCGGGTGTCCGAAATTGGCAACTACCTCCAGCTCTCAATAAGTGGTGGGTACGTGCATAGTCTTAATGTGAATGTTAAGCAAGAGCAGCAAGCGGATGACGATACCCAACACACGCCATCTCGGAAGAAAGCTCACAAAGTGGAGGTCGATCTGGTGGCTGGTGATTCACGCGATGACTTGCTCAGACGCACCGGAGACTGGAGTACCTGGAAGCACTGGTTTAAATCTTGTGGATATCTCTCCAGTGCTCTCAGCGTAACCTGGGGTTTCATTTGGATCGTCGCTGTTCAGATGCCGGGTATTTTGGTCAGAGTCTACTCCTCGAACAATACTTTGGTTGCTGGCGCTGCAGCAAGAACATTCATAATCCTTTTCGGTATGATGGTCATCGTCGCTTCGGGTTCGGTAATCCTTCTCGTCTGGCAGATTCTTCTGGATATGCAACCACGAAGCTCGACTGCTCTTCATCTTAACCTGTTGCAGACGACTCTTAATGCGCCACTGTCTTTCTTTACAAAGACAGATATCGGCTCCATTACGAATCGTTTCAGTCAAGATCTCAATCTTGTCGATATGGAGGTTCCCTTCTCTTGGGCGGATTTTGTACTCAGTTTCGTTGCGGCCGTGACCGGCATCGGTCTAATGGTCGCTTCTGGCTCTGGATACTTCGCCACGACCGTCCCCGTTCTTCTCGGGGTGATGTACACTATACAAAAATACTACCTTCGCACGAGTCGACAAATGCGTCTCCTGGACATCGAAGAGAAAGCACCCCTATACACTCAGTTTGGCGAGACAGCGTCAGGCTTGGCAACGATTCGTGCCTTCGGCTGGGCTGACAAGTTCACAGAGAAGAATATCGAGCTCCTCGACCAGAGCCAGCGTCCCTTTTACCTCCTTCTGTGCATCCAGCGATGGCTCACTCTCGTCCTGGACTTTGTCGTCACCGCTCTCGTCACCACTCTAATGATCGTTGTAGTCGCGACCCGGGACTCAATCGACCCAGCCATGGTTGGCGTTGGCCTGCTCTCAGCCGTCGGCCTCAGCCAGTCCCTCACCAACGTGATTCGCACCTGGACGATGATGGAGACGTCTATCGGTGCTATAGGCAGGATCAGGGAGTACACGAAATCCACCCCATCCGAACACAAAGCCATCGAATGCGACGACCCACGCCCATCATGGCCAGAGAACGGCGCTGTGGCTTTCAAAGACTTTGGTGCTAGCTACTCCGTCGAGTCCGACTTGGTTCTCAACAATATCGACCTTGCCATCGCGTCCGAAGAGAAGGTCGGCATTTGCGGTCGCTCGGGTAGCGGCAAGTCTTCTGCCCTGGCATCACTGTTTCACATGCTCGAATACCGTAGTGGCAACATCATGATCGACGACGTGGACATCGCGCATATTCCCCGTGAGACGTTGCGTGGGCGTATCAATGTCATACCGCAGGAACCCTGGTGGATTACCACAGAGTCCGTCCGGTTCAATATGGACCCTTGGAGCTCCATCCCACATACTGCAACAAAAGGCGGGGCCTCGCTACCCTCAGCCGACCGTGACGAAGCCTTTATCTCCGCCCTGGCCCTCTGCAACGTCTGGCCGGCCATCCAAGCTAAGGGCGGACTAGACGCAACCATGGCGCCAGACTTCTTGTCTCATGGCCAGCGACAACTGTTCTGCCTGGCACGAGCAATGCTGCGGCAGAGTAGGATTATAGTGTTGGACGAATGCAGTGCCAGTGTGGATGTGCGAACTGATGAGCTGATGCAGAAGATTATCCGGAGGCATTTTCAGGCGTGTACGATCATTGCCGTGGCGCATCGACTCAATACCATCGCGGACTTTGATCGCGTGTGCGTATTGGGGCAGGGGAAGGTGATTGAGTTGGGAAGTCCTGGGGCATTGAGGAAGGTTCAGCAAGGGAGGTGGCGGGAGTTGTTGGAGTTGTAGGGAACAGGTGGATGGTCATGGCTCGACCGGTACGGATGTGGAAAGTTTCGAAGCCTGAAATTGATAATGGTGTATGATAGTCAGTGGGTTCCAAAAATTGGGCAGTGCTACTGAAGTTCAGGAAAACTAATTGCTGTGGCGATGATGCTCACAAAAATTATTCTCATTGTACTTTGACGAGCTTAATATCACTACTTGAATACGTGTTACCCCTGAGTTGCACAGCGGGTATTAAACGACCAAATTCCTATATCAAGCCTGTTAAAGTTTGAACATCCTAGCCTTTCCTGAAGATGGATTCGATTTCATGGTGGCAATGCATGGCGCCAAACTTAGTTCGCTCCCAACTCCCAGCTTACGGTGTTCGGGTCCCGTATTTCTTAATTGGTTTCACCAATCTAGGGTAGACTTAGGCACGAACGCATTGCTATTCAGGGAACGATGAAGTCTGGAAACCGGAAAATGTGGACAGTTAAAACTCGGCAGTTAGGGAAAGGGGACATCGATTGGGCTTACTCTAAGCTTGGTAATCGGTTATATTCCCTGTCACAATCCCGCTGGCGTCTTCCAATGACGCCCAAGCGCTATTCAAGCCATACACCGCCGCATTCACTCTTACTCCTGGATTTAAACCGCTTGAGGTGATCTCTATGGTGTCAAGCGCCTGCTCAGGGAAGAATGAGACGGTGGCGGAAGATTCCCCGCCGTTTATAAAAACTTCTAGAATGCTCCGATCGATTACTCCCTCAACACTCCAGCTGAGTGAAGAGGCCGAAGGGTTATATGGGCAGCTTGTTGAAAATTTGTCAGTGAAGAATGGGTTGTCAAACCCCTTCACATTACCCCTGTCAATGAAGAAGGCGCTATCTGGGGCAAGAAAGTAACCTGCGCGCAACGATTCGCCTGAGCGGGATGACCGAAAGGTGAAGTTTGCGGTGCCTGTGATGTTGACGACAGGTATGTTGGTAATGTTGATTTGGAAGTAGAGGGCACCGGATGAAACAGTAGAATAAGAAACATCGACGGAACCATTGCCCATGCTCTTATCAATGAGTGCTGTGGCGTCAGTCACAGCCGACAGATCATACGGCGCGGATACCAGATCATAACCCACTCGGGTGATATTCTTCAAATAGTTGACTCGTGGAAGCGACATGGATGAACGCCAGCCTTCTAACGGACCAGTGGGGACAACTTGCGAGTACTGCCAGTTGCTCGTCCAGGCAAGTGATATTTGGTTTTGGTCGCCGGGGATACCGTAGAAGAACTGGCCCGCATAATTGTCTTTCCCAAAATCGCTGATTCGAGCTGCGCCATCAACAGGAGTGAAGACAGTTCCATTGAAAGAGCCTGGGAAATACTGTGTTATGGAGCCACCGATAGGAGCGCCGGGGTTGATGCTAACTGCGAGCACATACATGGGTTCTGTTTGGCCTTCCATTGGTATCTCCACCAGATTGGGACATTCGTATTGGTCGCCTAGGAGGCCATGATGGGAAAAATTGGAGACGTGTTGCCATTCTTTGAGATTGTCGGATGTGAAGAACCCTATCGTGAGAGCCTGGGCATATGATACAACCATTACCCACTGCTGGGTAGGTGCATACCAGCTAACTTTGGGATCTCGGAACTGGCTCGAGTTGTCGCTGAGGACCGGATTTCCGGGATAAGATTGAAAAGTGTACCCCCCGTCGGTGGAGTACGACAAGGCCTGAGTTTGCGAGGTGGGAGTGTTAATGGTGTAGATGGCAACCACACCATTGTTCTGGTGCGGGAAGAAACCAGAAGTATTGTTCACGTCGACTATGGCCGAGCCCGAATAAATGTTGGAGTTTTCATTAGGAGGAAATATAGCAATCGGTTGGTTGATCCAGTGATATAGGTCTTGAGACGTGGCGTGGCCCCAGTGTTGGTTACCCGCGGTCGTGGAAGTCGGATTGTCTATGCCAGTTAGTCTGCAATTTCTCGTCGAGCACCGACTTACATTGATAGTATAGGTGATAGGTTCCATTTGCATCCACGAACATGCCATTGGGGTCATTCATAAAGTCTTTGGGAGGAGAGAAATGGACTTGTGGCCGGAGAGCTCCGCTGTAATTCCCAGGGATTGGAACTCCAGTAGGGACAGAAGGCTCTGCATATTTGGACTGCTGAGATAGGGCCTGAGGAACAAAGGCAGCGCAGGCGATGATAATAGAGCGGATCATGATGGATGGTAATAGGAATGAGTCTCGACGATTCTTTCTGAACTCTTGCGCTCTTCTTCAGAGGGGCTGTAGAATTAAAGTAGATATGATCCTCTTTCTGGCGTTGTAATAGAAGTTTCTTTTTGTTCGGGGTTATCACCGCCCTGGAGGGAAGACTGTTCTTGCAATAGGGGTGGGTTTTGTATTTGCTTATGGGCAGTTGAAGCATGAAGTGAATTGTTACTCGTGTGGGTAATATTACACCAGAAATAGTGCTGTAGGCTGCAAATAGTTAAATACGGCTTAAAAAGCCGCCTGTCCGCACTTAGTTTGGTCGGTTCCGCGAATCACATTCAAAAGTATGACGTAGTACCTGAGATCCTCCGGTGATACGCATTCTTTTGCTGCCAATACTAAGTCTCTACAAAGGGAGTCGAACCATCCCCTTCTGGAGAGTCTCAAGGCACGCGGGACAACTTGGTAAATAGCTCGAATCGCGGAGCCTGCTCCGTGTCGTTGCCAACTTCGCCAGGAGAACAAACTTATTTTGCCGAGGTTGCTCTTCTTAACTGTTTATGCGACTTTTCGACGAACGAGAAATCGTAATTTGAATTTTGAGCACCACAAAATTCTATTAGCTTTCTCTCCATTATAGGACAATGGGGACCCCAGTAAAGGGCGTCGATAGAAGCTCTAGCGTCGGCTATCTTGACCAATAGCCGACACCGTAGCTAGGATCAACTTGAGAATGAATCTCTCGGACCCTTAAGCTCGGCACGGCGTGGAATTTTTAGGCCGACGATTTCACCGAGGTCGTCTCACAATCACGTTTAGTTTTGCTCGAGCAGTGTAGGTAGACCCTAGCTACTATTGAAGCCGACGCGGAGATCCTGGTAGGGTGGGGTGGGTAGCGTGGGTTTCCATGCCGAACAATTTGAGCAGCTAATGCTCACGCGCTCTCAGAGTAGGATGGTGAGGCTTCTCATGCCAGTGTCTAGTGCACGGTGTGTGAAGCTTCAACGCGCTATAGCGACTCAACTTGTCGGATGTAGAGTGATTGCAAGCTTGCTTTGTGGATAAGAGCCAATATTTCGCGCCAGTCGTTAGCCTTGGCTGTTACCAGTGGACGAGTAAGTATTAGTATCTCATAGCCTATCCGTCGAAAGGGCTTTAAGACTTGGTACCGTGTTGCTGACTTGAACTTGCGCAGTCACCATCGGGCTCTTCCTTGCCACAAGCGTTCTCAATTCCGCAAAGGACCGCAACGATACTGGATCTTACTGGATTCCTATTGCCGTCCAGTCTGCGTGGGCTTACGAGCTATTAAGCCTTGCGATTGTGTGAGAGTCAAAGACGAGGCCTTTCTAGTGGGTCCAGTTATAGATGTCAGTAATGACGGTTACCATCGTCCGGCTTATCTTGTGCGTCTGCTAATCCTTCTTACGTCGCTTATCTATATGTAACATGCGGTCTACATCATCTAAAAGTTTCTTTATCTTGGTTTAATGGTAAATATTAGGCTTAAGGCCTAAATCTTTACTCTTTTCTTTCTCATTAGCTAGTCTCTTTAATCTTATATTATACTTATAATTAAAGAATAATAATCTTAATAACTAAATATCTTTTAATTAGTCATAATAGAGCTTCTTCTAATGTTACTTTTTTTTCTTAATCGCATTTAAACTTGAAAATATTAGTAGACTTTTCTTAGATTATAATATTATTAAAAATTTAATGATTATTAGTGTTATCTTTAGGATCTATATTAGCCCTAATTAATTAGTTTTTATAAAGAAATCTTCACTTTAGTTTAGGATTTTTTAGTTATAAAGATAATATTTTAAATCTCACTTTAAAAGATAACTTTATATCTAATTAAAGATATTAATATAAAGAGATATATTATTAATGAATAAGAGTATTATTATCTAATATTTATACTTTATATCAAAAGAACCAGGTCATATCGTAATAGGGAAGAGTATAGCGTAATAGACCTTTATTAATGAGTGACTAGCTAAGTGATAGCTAAATAAGGACTTAAAGAGCTTAAGGAGTGAAAAGCCCATGAAGGGGGGTAAAGACCTCCTTATATAGACATAAAGGAGAGCCTATATAGAAGGCTTTAGAACAGAATAGACTATTGATTATAAATTAATAGTCTTACCATACTCAGCCTTGCGCAGTGTGCTCAGCCTTACGCGGGTCAACTGGTTAACACTTTGAACTTAGAATAGTTAATATAGTCAACACTTTACTAAGTATTCTTATGTCCGCTTTTTATTCGAACTTACTATATAACATTAAAAAATGTTTTCTTAACTGATATAAAGAGTCATTAAGACGTTAACATTATGTAAAGCATTCTAGATGGATCTCGTACGGATAGAACAAAAGTTTCACTAGGTTTAATAAGAGACTACTGTAACAAGTGAGCATTAGCTTATAGCAGAAGAAATGATCTTTACGCGCGAAGTAGCCCCTGCGTGATATATCACAGACTTAGCTCCCCGCTCCCGCATGTTACGAATTAGGCCTCTTATGAGGCCGCAGACAAAGCTGTGACGACAGCCGGTCGGCGTTAATACGTCCGAAACACGTGAAAGCCTAAGGGCGTGGTCACATGGTAGGAGTGACTCTCAGAACCCTGAGAAATAAGGCCATAGAGCCTAGGGGGCTACGGGCTCTGTCAGCTCTCCTGGCTCTCACTACAGAGCCCTTAGAGCCGGAGAGAGCCTAAAAAGGTTGAACAGTTATATATATACAGTTATTATATAGCTTTACCACGTAGTTAACTTCGTTCACGATCATACCCATACGTTTTAGTTGTGAT